TATATTTCTGGTTTATGAATAACTAAGGTTAAATTACAGAAAAAAGTCTTCTGTGTCATCTCACTTATCATGGCTTCCTTTAAAGTACTTTTAGTTTTTCAATGTGGGAGAAAATAGGAGTAGTAATAAAAATAATGTAGTATTTTTACAGTAATGAATCATAATTTTCCTAAGAATAAAGAACAGTAACATTTCTGTTTCCACAAAAATTTATCCCCTGAGCATATATTTCATGGACATTTACGTATTCATTCCTAACATTAATTAAACTTGGTGGAGGAATTGCAGGTGACTGAGCATTTCTGTCCATCTGGTTTCTGGAATTTTCCCTATGAATGAGTTAATACAGGCAAATGGTGTTATCTCTTAGTATAAAGAAAGCCAAATATGTAACCAGCTATATCAGTGTAAATATTCCCACTGTCATTTGGAGTGGGGGGACAGAAATGCCATTCAATCAGAATACTTGGCAGGTAATTGTTTACTCCAGTTGTTTGTAATTGACTGCCAGCTGCCTGTCCCTCTCCTTTTGTACTTGCAGCTGACTTTGCAGCTCAGTTTACTTGAAAGCCATTTCTGTAAAATGGTAGGTGTTTACTACAATCCTTTCTAAATTCTGGCACATGCTCACTTACTTTCTACATTTCTACTACAGGGCTCATAAGTCTAGTTTGAATGTGCAGCTGTGATTGTCTTGAAAGTATGGCACAGATCATTGGCATTCCTTCACTTTTAATGATGTAGCTTGGGTAGATAACATGGTTATAAAACTGCATTTAAGTCTTATTTGTACTAACAGACAATAAATTTCTTGTTTCACTTCTCATGGTGTGGTTAGATGAGGTATTACATATGGTCTGACAGCTCAGAAGAGATTCCCTTGCTCTTTTTGCTCCTTCTACCTGTCCTTTTCTTCCTTCTCTGCTTCTGGTCTTGCATGTCAGTCTCTATCACTGGACTGCTTTTGATGTTTACTTATCTCTATTTCAGTCTTCTAAGCCAGCAGAAAGTAAAATATTTCTTGTTGCTTTAATTATTGCTGCTGAATGGGGGTAAACTCCCAGCTCTGTAGTCCCACTGCTTGCTTACTTTGTGGTGCTTGTCAGATCCCAACCGCTTGAAATTTCTAACCTACTTAAAAACTGAAACGTTTTTCTGCTGTGGTAGTGATCAGTTTGTGAAAAAGTTCAGTATGAGAACTTAATGTAAGAGACAGTGCTTTAGTAGATGCGTTTAGCTGCCTATGAAATCTCACCTTCATTTCTCCCTAGAAAGACTTAGGCTCATGTATTAGTACTAATAAGAATTTCACATGCATCAAGTGAGGTAAACTGTTACTTATATTACTCTGACATAATCAATGTCTGAGTCATTTATGAGTCTGATACCTATTCATGTAGAGTCTGCATTTTACTTCTGTTGCTGTACTTGGCCCAGAAACAAGTGTATGGTCTGTATAAAAAGTTGCAATACCCTTACATTAGTTATAGTGTTGGTCTGACCTTGAGGTATATTGTTTCAATGAATTAAGCCCACAGAAAACTTTTTACTATTTTTTTGTAGGGTTAAGATGAAATTTCCCAGGGCAGTGGGCTGATTTAATGCCTCATGATTATTAATGGGTCAGTCTTTCATCTCCCAACCTTCTCAGCAACATGATCTTGCAGCTCCCCTTGCTTTGTGGGCTCTGATCAATTCAAATTGATCATTTCTCAGGGAGTTAACCTGTCAGAAAAATACTCATGTTATTATACTGAGTTTACTATGATAAACTCCATGAACCAGCTCATAGGCAGTCTGATAGTGATTTAAAGTAGAGTGGTTTGGAAGACAAAGACAGGGTCACCACAGTGATAGTTTATATTGGCCCAAGCTGTCATTGTGTGCAAGTCGCTGGTTTGTACGCAGTAGGACTCTCAGTGTTCTAAACACCAGTGAGAGTGATCCCAACAGCCTTTGTACATCATTGTAGTAAAGATAAAACTTAACAGTGGTTGAATTAATGGAATAATAATAATGGGATTGATATTTATTTAAATAAATACTGGTTTGCTTTAATTGGTTTGTTAAATTTGACATGTATGTTGATGAAACCCATGCCAGTACCTTTCTAAGGGCAAGAATAACAACTACTACCCCCCAGGCCCTTACAAGTATATTATTTTTTCTGTGAAGAAGTAATGTAGGTTCTAAAGAAATCTTGAAACTTGCCTGTAAACCATCTTGCCTTGTTGTATTCCCACCTAATCCATGAATTAGTGGTAGAGCTTTATAACAGTTGAGTATGTAGTTTTGCATAGAAAAACAAAAGGATCATAAATTTGAGCTACCAGAAGCTGGCCTACTAAAATTATTGTTTCTGGACTTCTATTATTTGGATTGAGACAAGTTTCTCTGTTAGTTCAGTGCAGTGTTTCTGCAGCAGTCACAAACTAGAGTTTTAGAACTGTTGTTGAACTCTGTGTAAGGCAGAAAAATTGTATCAAGGTTCTAAAATGGTGGGGTAGTGGTAACTGTTTCTTCTTGTAACATTAATCTTGTTCAGAATTTTGCTTTATGTGTTTTGGAAAGGATATGGATGAGGAAATTGACCCCCTATAGGCAAACCCTTAAGGGAAGCATACAGCTCTTCTTGGATTGTTTGGGTTTTTTGATGGTCTGAGAAGTCTGCAGGAGATCAATCAGTGGTATTGTGTAACTTCACACATCCTGGAGAAGCTGATATGCTCCAAATTTGTAAGCTAACTTGCTCTGCTACAGTTCGTACAGCTCATGTGAGGCCATGCCTACAGAAAGGTGTAGGAAAATAAAATTGCTGTAAATCCAGTTAGCCTGATGCAGACCTCTTCATGAGCGTTTTTGTTTTGGCATAAGCAGTTTAACTTTAATTGCTATAAACCAATTCTAGTTCAGTTTAAGATAAGATGAAACATGTGTTGTTTAATCTGTAACAACAGTGCTAATGTAGCCCCTGAATTTGGTTAAAGTAAGGTGGTGGTTTCAAAGCAGCTTAAGCTGGTCGAACTGCTCAGTGCAGCAGTTTTATCCACTTCCTTCCATACCTAAGCTGGCAGGAAACTAACTGAACCGTAGAACATGAATAGTTTTCTACTAGTTTAGTATGCTGAAATGGCTTGCTAGACCTCCAGAACTGGTGTAGGAGAGAGGGCAGGAATATACCAGTTGAGTGCAGGAAGTATAGAGCTTTGTAAGCAAGCATTTAGATAGGGTTAGGCTGTAATGAAACTAGAGCTTAAAACCATAGCTGACACTTTACTTAGGCTTTATACTGTGGTATGTAAGAGTGAGTCTGTAGCTGTGGTCAGAGCCATGTATGCAGCCCTACATGCTCATCTTCAGCTGCATTTTTCTACCTTTCTCCTTAAGCTGGCACTGATGCTTATGCTGTTGCATGGTAAGCTGTATCAAGCAACTGCAGAAAATTAATTATTTTTTGTAGTATTGTTTTTTGCCTGTATCATGAACTGATTAACCCTGCTATTACATGCAAGTGCCTGTCTGCAGATAGTTGTGGAGGCAGACATCTGGTGAGGTGGGGAAGGGGAGCAGAGTTACTGTAGCAGTTTTAATTTAGATCTGCTTGTAAGCTGTGCATGTGCAGCTTTGTTAAAGACAGGGTTTTAAAATACACTACTCTTTATCAGAACAAGAAGGCACAAAGCATCTGAGAACTGGAAATGGGAAGTGACAGCTTAAAGAGACTACAAAGAGTCCAAAACCAAAAGATGGAGTCAACAGAGGATGCTGTTTAGCAAAGGAGAAGGGCCATGGGTTAAATTATAGTATTTTGTCCTCTGCATATGATACAGTAACATGTCTGACAGAAACATCTTGTTATATTTCTGTTCCAGCCTTATGGCCTGCTTTTGAACTTTGTTTATTAAGTATTTCAAGATGGGACTTGCAAGGCTTTCTGAAGAATTTTCAGAGTATTTCCAGGTTGTGGTTCCAGAGCAGCATAACAAATTTAATTGTTTGGTGCCATTCTGTCTTCGCTTGCAGTTGTTCTACTTGGACAGCAGTGAACTCTCCACGGGGCTTTTTCATCCTATTAACCTGGAAGAATTTATTTTTTTTTAAATTTTATTCTTGGGTTAGTTTTCTGCTAGTTTATATTACTTACTTGACAACAGTGGTTAGCTGTGGTGGCAGATGAACTTCCACAGAGGTTTCATATGTTTAAACTGATACCTTAACTGTTGCCTGTTTAGTGACTAAAGGAGTTCTTTAACTCTCTTCTTCCCATCATCAAATATACATCCCTTATATTGCCTTTACATCTGTGCTGGCTCTTTGCCAGTCCTGTACTGAGTCAGTTAAGGACTTGGGCGTACAAGTAGTTTTCTACCTGCTTACCTCCCTGAAACAGATTAGTAGGGAGTTGGACAGATGTCATCGCTAGAGATTTGCCCCATCAATGACAGTCATTAGATGGTCTTGGCTTGTCATAAAATCACTTACCAAGACACTACTGGTTAATGGCGATAATTCTCGCTTTTTCAGTTTTTCCATTGCTGCAGGTTTTTGTTGAAGGCTTTGGTTTTAGCGGTTTCTCTCAATGGTAAAAGATTTGGATATTATGACCATAACTGCGAAATGACGAGTACAATGGAATTTCCAGAATGGATTGTATATTTTGTAACAGTTTCATAATAGTACATCGTGTATCAGCTTTCTTTGCAGTGATACCAACTGTTTAATCACATAGAGATGAGATTCTCACTCCAGTGTGAAATGTAATTTGAGAATCCTCCAGTGAATGGTAGTGCAGCCCTTGGTGCTTAGTGATCAACAGGGGGTCTTCAGGAGTGTCTTGGGGCACCAAGGCCTACAGCCAGGCTCTAGCTTATAAGCAGCTTACATCTTTTATATTGCAAGTTGTTGGGAAGGGTTTCTTTATCTTCCAGAGACCTACAATAAAGAAGCAACTAACAGTGTCTTTTTCTACTTGTGTAAAATTGTAATATAGTAGGAGTTTATCTGGATTTACACAACCATGGCTAACCTCTGTTATTTATTACATTAAGCAACTGGATTGGGTTAATTGCATCAGTTGAAGTTTCTGGAATGTAAACAGGGCTTTAGTGGTTGCTTGCAACTGCATCATGTTTCAAAATTCTGGCATAAGATTAAAATGCCTCAGAGTTGAGAATAAGTTCTAACAGATTTATCCATGATTTTTTAAAGTGTTTTGAAGATAATTGAGCTTTCTATGGTATTATAGGTAATGGATTTGAAAAGTCATGAATCTATTAGCAAGCATTCAGGATAATAAATGTAACTGGGAGACTTCACAGTTCTGGAATTCATATAAATTATTAATTGAAGCCTGTTCTATCAAATTGGACTGTAATGATGCTGACAATGGAGTTAATGTTGCTCCTTTTTCTCTCAGAATTCTTCATTGATTTCCCTGAACACCATTTAAAGTGCATGTATTCAGAGCTTATGAGGAGGAGAAAAGAAGAGACAAGTGAGTGTCTAGGTGGAAATCAGTTTTCTGTTTTTGTTCTTGTTCTTTTTAAAGACATAGGTATGCATTTCTGTGGGGTAATGACAGCTTAAGCAGTTTTCAATCACCTTTGTGTTCTGGTACCCTCTCTTACGCTGCCCTTTTTCCCTTTTTTTTTTTTTTTAGCGAGCATAGCTGTTTCTTACAGCCTTCAGATGAATTCTTCATGAAACTGCTTTCATGAGATTTTTGTTATTTTGTCCTGTTAAATTCCATCTAATTTAATTCCTTGATCTGTTTTACCAAATATTGGCAGAACTATTTGTGCCATAATTTATGGAATAGCATGGGATTGGGAATTAATGTTAACAGAATTAGCCTTGGGCTGGCTCTGTTTAAGTAACACTTCTGCTGTCTAACTTACATAGAACAATTGAGTAGGTTTCTAATTGGAAACATTGTCCAGACTTTTGCATGTTTGATCCACTTGCATTAAGATATAAAAAACCCACTCACATCACAGAAGACTTTTATTGGGATAACTAACTCTCAGTTTACTGATATCTAATACCATTTCTAGAAGACTAACATAATGCTTTCACTGAAAAAATACATTGCTGTTTCTGGTTCCTGGAAAATCAGAATGCCTGCTAATTTTACTATCTTTATTACAACTCATGCTGAAAAGTTTTTTTGATTAATTTTTTTGTTGCTGTTTAATCAGACATGTTGCTGAGTTTCCCCTCTTCCCACTTTCTGAAAATTTCCAGAAGAGGAAAGTTTTGTTCTACAAGCAGTAGATATTACCACTTTATAACAGCTCATTTTTCATAGAATATGTATTTAAAATATAAGAAAATTACGTACAGAATTTGAATAACTAATACTCTTCATGAAAGTATAGTAAACTTGATGTAGTTAAGATAAAGATACATTTTTGATTGTCTGTGCTTTACTTTGAAGTGCAAAACTTTTATTCCCTTCCACACCAGCTCAAAAAAAGGGTAGTTCTTTGCTACAGTAAAAAGGTTTTATCCTGCAATTTGCACTTTTTGGGAAGGCTTTTGTTTTGTTTGCCAAACCTTTTTGTGAGGCTGAATTTGAAAATCATGTCATACACTGTCTCATTTACTTGGGTTTTTCTTAATTGGCTTGCTATCTATTGCACTGAGGCTGCAACACTGAGGCAGTATGTGCTGATGTAAGTCAGACCTGCCACGCTGGCATACTCCTTCATGTCAGCCACATTTCCATCCTTTAACTTTATACTGGCACTGGCAACTTTGTGATTTGTTCATATGCCAGTTCAGCTGAAATAAAATGTTGAGGTTTTTGTTGGTTTTGGCCATATCTGTTATCTAAAGCATCTTGCTTCCTGGGTGAGCAAATAACAGTGCTCGAGAAAGGAAAAGGGAAGGAAGTGTATCTGTGGAAGAGTACTGTGAAGCCTTAACTTAGGTCTGTGTAACTTGCTGTGGATTTCAGCTTTCATTAAGGCCTTATTGGTAGAAAAACTAATGCAAGTGTAATAAATGTTTAGAAATGCGTGTGTAGACACCATTTCATTTTGGCTTTAGTCCGGAATTACTGTGATTGAATTTAACTTAAGCAAGTTTTTAAATTAAAAACAAGAAAAAAGCTATACAGAAAGGAGGGTTTAAGGGGTTGTCACTGTTGATAAGTCCTTGATATGGAGCAGTTTATGCTGTGTTCTTACAGTAAGGCAAGTTGATGTTACTTGTTTTCATGAAAAATTACATTTCGGTATCATGGTAAAAGCAAGGAAAACAACATTCTGCTTTTACACCTTTTCTGAGTTGGTGCTTGCTTCTATTGAGAAAAACAAGACTTCTCAGTTAGTTGTCAGGGATTGTTGCTATTGAATGCTTACAGTACAGCACTTGGCAATGTATAGAACATAGAAGATATGGTTGTGGTCTATGCTCCATATACTGCAGAAAAATAAGATCTCTGATATACAATAACATGCTTCTGTTTTTTTTAATAATTTTTTCTAAGCTAGACTATATTAAGTCACTATCACAGTTTATCTCCTTAAAAACTGCATTATCATCACATAAAATTGGACTTCTAAAATAGTTGTAAAGTGTGAAATTAAATTGCTTTAGGGTTTAATTATGCTCTAGTCTGTCTTCTAGGAGCAGTAGTTACTAATCCTTTAGTCACATGATGGCACACTGAAACAAAGATTTTAAACTTTATGTGAAGATGAGGTTATCTTGTTCCCCAATGGATGGTTTGTGAGAGCATTCATAGGTGCTTATGTCAACTTTGGCAACAATACAGAGCAATTAATAATAACCTAGTGATGTAAAAACAGGTGACAGTTGAGAATTAAAAAAGTTAATTTTTCACTTTTTTCACTTGTGCTGGAAACACAATTTTGAAATATTGCTGAGAAAGCAAAACCACACAATTCAAAAATTAAGAAATAATTAATTTGTCAAGCAACCTTACTTCACTTAATTAGTACAATTGGGTTATCAATTAAATGTTTATTATTTTACGGTAATGCCCTTCATTTAGTACACAGCACACTTAATATCTTATTAACCTTCTGAGTGTTGAGTAACTGTGAGTGATCTTAGCCTTTTCAGTTAGAAAAGGTCAGTGCACAAATTGATGACTCTGAAAATTTTGGTTCAGTTTGATTTGGTCAATATATGATAGGAGTAGAAGAAGCAGGGACATAGCAGGAATATGTGCGAACTGGTGACAAACTGGTGATGAACTGGCATGGTGAGATAATCTACAAAGTGAGACCATCCTTGCTCATTAAACACCTTTTTAAAAATACTTGCTTGACATAGATGCGATCATGCAAATTCTTGTTCCTTTTTGGAGTAGAAACTTGACTCCAACTCCTAGGTAACTGTCTAGTCACCAAGTTACTGCATAGTTTAAATTTAGTCTTTTTGGTTCTTTCCTCTTGCATTTGTTTCACTTCATTCAAGTAATAAATATTAAATTAAACTACATAGGAGAAATGATCCAGGTTAAAAATTAACTTTACTCCTGACAAGTTACTTTAACAAAGATCAATTTCTTTATCTGGTTCACAGCTCAGCTACACAAACTGCTAACACAGCTGGAAGAGCCCAGGAGAAAGAGGCAGTGTGTGCTAAAGGGGACACTGCTGTTGAAAGGAATTCACACAAAATGCAACTTGAGCATTTTTAATCTTAATTAGAATTGGAAACTATAATTCAAACAATTTAAGTAGGTGCTATGATCCTTGTTTTACTTGAAATGAATTAAAAGATTGTTCATATTATTAGATCCCTCACAAATAGGCAAATTGGCAAGATACAGTGATAGTTAAAATAATTAGCATATTCCAGTAGCACAACTAAATCTGATAGAAAATGCCTTTGCATTGCTGTTTTCGTATCTATTTATTACTTTTTTCGGTTATATCTTACATTGCCTCAAGAAAATTTCTGTGCATTTCAATAACTTGACAGTTGGGGGTAAAAAAAAAAAAAAAGTGTATTTCAGGTCAGTTTTTCTATGTTGTCTATAAGTCAATGCTAGTTTATTTGAAAATCCCTAGTATGCTCAGGCTTGAAGTAGTTTTTGAAATCACTTAACCAAGCATATATGTCTGTGTGTTTGTTTGGTTTACTCAGTATTGAATCAGTACTTTTTCTGTTGAAGCGTAGTTTGGATTTGGCTGTGATTGAATTGTATTTCAGTTCTAGTTTAGGTAGTAAGAGTTTAACCCTTTTCCTGACCCTGGATCAGTTATTTTAGGAAAAACAACACTGATGCTGCAGTGTTTCTTCCAGGATAGCTGTATTGGCTCAGTTCTCTTGGGATACATGAAGCATATGCCAGCCAAAGGAGTTCTTCTGCCACCTTCTGTGCATAATTAGCTAAACTCAAAAAATAGCCCCTAGTCTTTTGTCAGTGTAGCTGTACCTGTATTAGGATTTTTATTGTCATAATTGCTTAACGAGGGTTGGAGGCAGTCATTCTATTTTTCATACATTTAGGTGACACACGTTACCTGGCAATTCTTTATATTGTCAAATCAGTCTAAATTTTGGCCTAAATGAAGTGGGAGGCATATTCGCTTGAATTGAAACAAGTCAAGTAACAGTAATGGTCTCAGACACATTGTATTGGTTTAATTCAGCTTAGGCATGTCAGAATATAACTAAATGCTGCCTACAAGTATAAAAGGGGATGGGTGGAATGGAAAGAAAAAAAATCACATTTCTTAGTGTCAAAGAAAACTCAAAACCTGAAAAGGTTTTGTTTGTTTATTTAAACCAGCTTAACTACATTTTGCCAAAATTTTATAACTTACGTCAACAGAAAAATTTCTCTGAGAGCCAGCACTACATTTCTGCTAGGCAGCACTGTTGAAATAGCTGTGCCTACATAACTCTAGTGGCAGACACTTTTCCTATGATTTTACATGTATTGTTAGCCTGGTGCAGCTATTCTAGATGAATAAAACTCAGGATGAGCAAATGCTCCTACATTTCTCTTTCCTCCTTCAGTTATATCTTCTTCCATCTATCTTTCATATGTTTTTCATATTTATTTATAGTTTTCTTAATCATTATCTTGACATGTTGCCAAGCTCTTGGTCAATCAGAAGGCACCATATAGCATCATATTTTCCATAGAATTGTGTAGAAAGACTTTAAAACCACTATTTTTTTCTGTGCAATGATGTATTTGGGGAAAATTTTTTTAAAAGCTTCAGGAACTGAAAAAATTACAAAGTTCACAGCTGATTAAGTGACAATTACATCTTTCATGTGTCTGGACCAACTTGGAAAAGTGTGATGATAATGATTGTAGGTAAGATTGATATTTTCACAAATTAATGGAGATCAGTACAAATTTTCTTGCACAGGATAACTTCTTCCACTACACCTTTGCCATCTTTATTTATATTTTCTTCCATACATATAAACAGCGTAAATTTTTTAATTGAGTCTAGAATTAGTCTTAAATTTAGTATAGAAATATCTTTTCAGTTCACTTCTTGAGCTTGCATCATGTGTAAATTTTAGTGGCATCATGGATTTTTTGAGGATTTTTTCTTAAAATATTTTTGCTATATTAATAATTGTGTGACTACTTGACATCTTCCCACTCTTTTTACTATATACTATATTATTTTCAATACATTTTAGCATATATGCAAGCATTCCAATGTTAACATCAAGATTACATTGTATGTATCACTTCTATTTTTACATCAGTATTGTTTGCCCTTTTTCACAATGGAAAAAAGCAATTTGTTCATAGTCAATTCATGCTCAACTGTTGTTCCAAATGCTTTTTTTTTCTGTTTAGAGAAAAGTGCATAGGTTGTTAATCTTATGTCCATTTGTGCAAATTATTATTGCAGCCAATTTTTATTCTTATTAACTCTTTCCACATTTGCACAAAATACCGAAATCACGTAGCAATCTAGTACAGTCTTTGTTGTGCCACAGACCCTCTAAAATTTATGCCATGTGACAAAATATCTTTCTTTTGAATGCAATACAGTTTAACTTTTCAATTTGATGGACATTATTCTGAATACAGTTAAAGCTAAACTGTGCTTTACTAGCTCACTTGTAAGACAGTCTAATGAGAAAGTGTCAGTGCAAGTCTCCTTAAATGTGTTAAAATCATCCCCCGAGAGGAATGCTGTAGCTCAACAAAATCATCTCATTCAATAAATAGTTAAAGTCAGATTGGGAGGCATTTGTGGAAAAAGATGTTTGTCAGCTGCCTATGTGAAAGTCTAGTGCTGTGGTTTTCAGTATTCTTCTGTTTGGGGAACTTCCCCTATTTTTTGGTGGACCTTTTTATAGTTAATTTAAACCTGTTGACAATAGACGTGCCCTGATAAGTTCATCCAGTTACTGGTGGTTGTTCTGGTACCTCTGATGTTCATTGGAGTCTTGAAGTGTTTCAGTGAGGTTTTGGCTCAGCCCTATCACCCAGTGAAGCCTGGAAGGCAAGAACACAGATCCAGGAGGGAAAGGATGTAGGATCATGACATCCAGCAGTTTGCCTCTGGCAAATAGCTGCCAAAAACTGTTGTTTGACAGAAGAAAACTTTAAGGTGGCATTAATACCAAAAGCAGCATTTCTGTTTCTCGCTGTGTGTTCCCATCCAGTATAACTGCTTTGCTGGATGATTTCAGGTGTCTGTGTGGCTGTGCAGTGAATGGGGTCATAGCAAGAATTACTCAGAAGAAAAAGTATTTTTTAGACAGGTTTTATTCCTCAATTGTTTAGTGTGTGGCCACAAAACATTTGTACTAGCACATGTGAGTAGGGAACTGAAAATATGGGAATCAGTTAGGGGAGGGTTCAGTTGTTTCTCTATGATGTTGATGACTTCTCATCCCCATGGTTTTATCTATCACTTTGTTTTGTTGCATGCATTGAAAGCTTAAGGAAAAAAACTCTGTTGAACTGTCACTTGTATTTCACTGTTCTATGAATGTCTATCACAGCTGATCACATGCTTGTTTCTTTTGAAAAAATGTCAGTAAGTTCTTTGTAATTGAGCTGAGCATTCCATATTCATTAGGAATCATTTAAATTTTGTTCTGAGAAAATAAAGGTGCAAATGCTCTTCTTTTTACCAAGGACATTTCTGATGAGCTTGTCAGTAATTTTGTGTGTGTGTATTAGCTCTTTTAAGGCTGTAAATAATACCTTCTAAATATTCTAATGAACACAAAACAGTGGCCAAGTAAAGAAAAAGGTGAATTAAAAATCTTTGAAGAAATCAAATAATTTGACATAATTGGAAGAGTGAAGCAGACATGAAGATCATCATAATAGATGTTAATTTGATAGAGCTGTGTCTCAGTTTGCTTCTGATTTTTTTAAAGAATTTTGCACATTTCATAGAATGCAGTTCAGAGACACCAGAGCTACTTAAGTTGCTGGTGTGATGCGTTTATACTAAGATGACAGTCTATAACTTAGAGCAACTGAGACACAGGCACCTGCTCCCTTCTGCCAGTGTTGCTGCTTGGGATAGTAAATTCAGGCATAGATGGAAGCTGTGACTTAGTAAACTGCTCTAGTAATTTGCTTGGTTGAATGTGGGAGCCACTGAAAAGTTGTGCCACTTCCTGTTTATTGCTCTGTCTTGTTGCCAGTGGTTGCTGCCTGACTGGGAGTCCTGTCTTAATTTTATTTTTTTACAATCCAGTTTAGCAGGTGTTACAAATGACTAAGTATTTGAGGTAGCATATTTATTTTCAGACTATACAGCAATTTAATTTTTTCTATTGATATATTTCAATAAGTTTATTTAAATATGACAAACATGATGAATACTGACTTTCCTTTTAACCGTGTTTTAACTTTTGTTGCTTATGTTCCTAAATTACATCAGCAAAGCTGTCAGGAACTGTTAATGTTATTTCTCTGCTTTTAACATGTATGACATAAGTTAGCATAGCACTCTGCTAAACTACAGAAATAATTGTTCTTGTACTTTAAAAGATACTAAAATTTGAGATAAGATGAATGGCCAGAATGCTGTGGGAAAAGAAAAAAAATATTTAATGTTAACCTGAATTACTACACTAAGAATTCACTTAACAGTGGCATTACTTAACAAGTCTGTCCTTCCAGTTTTGTCAGTGACTGGGTGAAAGATGGTTGAGAATTCTTACTCTGTTTGATGAAGGAGTGTGAATGATAACCCATAACCTCATTTGAATTTTCTCATCGATACATGCTCTTTCATATTGTTTGTATCTCTTACAGATCCTGGCTCTGCTGAACGCACAGCACAAAAAAGGAAATTTCCCAGCCCTCCACATTCCTCTAATGGCCACTCACCACAAGATGCATCGACAAGTCCTATAAAAAAGAAAAAGAAACCTGGTCTGTTGAACAGTAATAATAAAGAGCAGGTAAGAGAAGTCATGGTCTTGTTATGCTAGAATATGATACAATCCAGGATGTAGAGACAGGTGATCAGGAGCTCTTTCCTCTTTAGGAAGTTCCACTTTTGTACTTGAAGAAGGGGATATTAATTTTTGGATGCAGTGGGTATAGGAGTTGGCACTATAAGTTGTATTTGGATGTTATTTTATTTTTGTTGTATATCTGTATGAGAGACGACCTGTGTCCTGGCTTTTGATTTCATAAAGCTTTTTAGATGTATAACCAATGATTGCAATTTTGAACAAAAGGATTTTGAAGAAATATAACAACAACAATAGCTGCTATTAATCAAAACCATTAAAAGGAAATGTTCAGTGTCATGATATCCTAAATTAAGAAAGATCTCATAGTATCAGTGGAAGTCCCTCATCTGCTTTCAGTCTAACTGCCAATTAACAAAAGTCCAGTTCCTTCCTTGGTACTCTGCAGATTCCCTCCCACTCCTTTAAATTGCTGGGCAGTGTACACTCCTACCAAATGAGTTACATCAAAGGGTCACACTGACAGTACTTTTCAGTCTTCATGCTTGAAACCTCACTTTCAGTGTTCTGAATATTCCATTTTATATCATTTCATGTAGTTCTTAGACGAACTTGACTCCAGAAGACTTTGACAATTTCTGATTCATTGTATGATGCAAATGAAAGAATTATATGAAGTGTATTGAATAGCAAATGCTGTAAAACACCTGCATCATCTTGGAGGAGATTACGTGAAAGCAGTCTTTAGCCTTACTGAAACCATTTCTCATCTAATTTAATAATGACATGCCTGTGTATTTTTCAAAGTGCTTTTGTGTGTCAGTGGTTTTTGTCAGGATCCTATAAACACAGGATTAAGTTTTGAGGGTTTAAAGCACTGGTGTAACAGCATCCACATTAAGTATTATCCTGGTGCAATTGCATTGGTTAAGACAGACAATGAAATTCCTAATCGCTGCAGTTGTCCTGGAACAAAGACTGTGAATAAATCAGGCCTTGCTAGAGAACAGTCTCACACTGCAAATGTATTTTATTGAAGGGTAATTGGGAAGTCTAGTAATAGCGTCTGTAGGTGTGCTTGCACTAGTTTAATGTGGTCAGTTTTGACTTTTACTGAGCTTCGCTGCAGGCTGTATAAAGTCATCCACATCTGGACACTTACTGGGGAGATGTTGCCTCACTAAAGTCTGAGCTTCTAACTGTACAGTGTAGAGATAATTTTTCAAACAGTGGAATTGAATTTTAGGATATTAATTTCTACTTTTTATTCATGCCTTTAAAAATATATGTGAAAATACAGTTGCAGTTGTTGAACTTGATACGTTCCCCTCAGTAAATCCTTTTCTGTTTTCCAGGTATCTCAGACCTGAAATATTACAGGATAGAATAAAGTTGTATATCTAATGAAGAAAAGCAATCAGACTTGCTTATTTTGTTATATTTGTTACAAGTTAGCAAGAAAATACCATGTTTCATTTTGTTTAGCTTTTACAAGTTGTTTTAAATTTCATATTGTCTTGCATGTCAAATTTGAAATGGGCGTGCCTGAAAATTATTGTTTCTCAAGTAGGTGCAAAACTCTGCTCTATATGATAGCAGGGGTTGTTAAAGATTCTTTTACTGCTGAACAGAGTGAGCTAAGCATACAGCTACTTGTTTTGCTCTCAGGTTAAGTTTCAAATATAATGTAGCTGATAGCTGTGGTTCTGATTGGCTGATAAATCCATTTTGAGGTATGACATCATCACTAGAAACCTCTAACTTAATATTCTACATTACAAAGTGTTTTGTAATATTTGAGTATTCCAAGATACTGTTACTGAATTTATAGTTGCATGAAACTTCGTATTACATGTTGTGGATGCAGTAACAGATCTTCAGAATGGTGTCAACAGGTATTTAAAGTGTTGAAATACAACCAAAGAACCATGGAACTGTAGAATGTAGCTAAAACAGGCTAAAAATCAGGAACTTCTGACATTTACTTGGTCAGTTATAATGTAATTGAAGTTGTCAGTTTGTTTTACTGCTAGCTTCAGTAGTAATTTAAACTGAATATAAGTAGTGATCTTTTTCTCCCCAAAACACTACTACAATACTGTTGTTTTTTCTTCAGTTTTCTATATCATTCTACAGGTCTTAATAACATTAATAAAGACTTCATAACAGGCTGTCACCTATTTGAGCTTGGACTGGCTAGTTGTGAAGCAGTTGAGAAAACAAAGCTTTTCTTTCATAACTGTTAAAATTTAAATTCTTAAAGCATTTTGCAAGTGTGAAGTTCCTTGAATCATTCATTTTCAGTCCTTTATTTTTGTTGTTTGGGTCTCTTTCAGCCTTGGAACTTTTTTCTTTTTTCCTAAAACTTGGCTTAATGAAATAAGATGTCCAAAAGATTTAAGCATCCTTGAACAGAAAATGAATTCCTCTCATGCTCTAGCAAAAATGGATCCTCTTCAGTTTGGATGTTATGAGCTGATTTATGTGGAATAGTTTCACAGTTTCATATTAGTTTCATATTTGTCTTAAAGCAGTATCTTTGATTCTTAGGAAGTTAGTATGGATATACTACTCTCTCTACCCACTTCAAAGTCAGAATATGTATTGCAGTCTTCTGTTAATTTCCTTTATCTGCAGTTGAGGAAATGCCCCATAGCTGCATCTCCACAGAGACACTATTAAGATTTTGGTCACACAGCTGTGGTGCATATAGCTGCAAACAAAACATGGTCTGCACTGTAAATTACAACTTTTCCTTTCTTCACTCTTGAGTTTCCATATGCCTTTGTATCTGTTTGATTGTGGTAGTAATACGTTTGAAATGTAGTTAAAGCTGTATGCTGTCCCCTTTATTCCACAGGATCTCACACAACCTTCCTTCTCAAAGTCTTGTCATATGTTAAATAAATACACAGGCAAAGTATGGAAATTAACAATTTGACCATTTCTGTAGTGGGAACAAAGTGTCTTTTTAGTAGCTGTATCATCTGTAGAATAGAAAATGAAAAATGCCAAAACTGATAGAAATTGGAGTGAAATTTTAGGTAGCAGAACGCTTTGGGAATGTTTGTGGGTAACATCCTTTCTTTGCCTAAAATCTTATACAGTATTAGGTAATTGTAGATGATATCTCTTCTGCTGTATCTTTTGAGATGTAACATCTTCAGCTGGGTTGTCACTGCTGCGTCATCTCATTTGACCTTGAAGCTCCCCTATTCATGCAAATAATTAGACCTTGTCCTTTATAACTTTAGAAATCTAGAAATATCACAGTCCAAGCTGGCATTCTGGTGGTTTCTGGTGACATTAATTTAGCCCTGTGTGACTTAATTTTGTAGAGGATGGTGCAGAGATACAGAACAATGCATATGGTTGCACTGTTCTATGAGTCACAGGGACGTGTGGCAACTCAAGGGTCTAAGAACTTGCAGATGTGTAAATGGTGTAGGATGAATGTGAAATTACTTGAGAACCAAACAAAAATGGTTCTTCAAACTACAAGCATTTGGATAGTTAGAAGTAATGTCATGACCAAATAAAAATCACAGTAAATAACTGCCTAAAACTCAATATTGTTTTCCTCCATGCCCTCCTCCACAAACTACCCCTATATTCAATACCAAGCAGAAAACTTAAGTTACCTTTTCATTAATAAATAGAATGTAGTATTCCAATAAATGTTAGCAGCTCTTCCAAGACTTTAGGTATCTGGGGACCCATTTTACACCCATCCCAGGCTCTTTGCTTGTTGTATTTTGACATCAGCTGTGTCAACTTTGAGCTGGCTGGGGCTCAAGTTGATGACTTGTTCATGCAGTTTACAAAGTTAACACTGTTTTCCAGTGCAGGCAAACCAGTGGAGATTGTGAGTCTTAAATTCTGATGAGCTTTTAAGTGGTGGATTAAATCTCCCCTAGTGTTCCTGCTCCTGTGGCAGAGGTGGCTGTTCAGGTTGTGAATTTGCTCCTTTGTCATCCTAGTCTACAGTTTGCCTTATTAATTAAAATCAGCACTGGCTTGCTTCATTGGACAAAGTTGTGAACTGCTGCAATTTAGGACAAATTTGCATGGTGTTCAACTTCTTGTTTCAGGACTAACTTCTTCAGCTGTCCCAGGTTTAGCCACCACTAAATATCTCAGTATTTAGCTTGCACAGCCCCGTGGAATTCTGAGTTTAGAGGACCTAATAGCTTCTGTAGCGATACATTGTTCTTGAAGATAAAAGTGTTTGCTGTCTTTTGTTGGACTGCATGTCTTGCACTTGATGCCCTCACTTGCTGCAAAAAATTATTTTCAGTCTTGAGTGCAAACTGGCATTTGACATCTGAATAAGAAGTAAACTTCTTTATGAATGAATTTGTGCAATGAATAAGATAATATGCTTGCATAAGTGTTAAACTCTGTAAACTGCTGTTTGCTTATATATTATGAATATTATTATTTTAAAAAATGCAAATTTGTTTTGAAACCAAACCTGTTTTTCTTGCCTACATTTCAGTCAGAACTAAGACATGGTCCGTTTTACTATATGAAGCAGCCACTCACCACAGACCCTGTTGATGTTGTACCACAGGATGGACGGAATGATTTCTATTGCTGGGTTTGTCATCGGGAAGGCCAAGTCCTCTGCTGTGAACTCTGTCCTCGGGTTTATCATGCTAAGTGTCTGAAACTGACAGCGGAACCAGAGGGGGATTGGTTTTGCCCAGAATGTGAGGTTAGTTTGATAATAAGGAGTGGATTTCTTTCTTGTTTGTGAGATATAAGCAGCTTTTTTGAGTTCTGAATTGTTTCTGGTTTATTCCTGTATTGCCTCTTGGTAAAGGTACCAGAAAAATTTGTACAGAAGAGGAGGCATCCATTGCTGCTTTCACCACTTTTTCTGTGTGTGTACCTGGATTGTGTTTGCCTGCTTACCATGAGTCTTCAGCTTCCTTTGTTTCCATCCCTAGAGAAGGCACCATTTCAGAAAGTGATCTCTTCATCAGGCACCTCTAATTCTGAAAACATTCTGCACTTTTGACTAGTTTAACCTGTGCTTCTTCTAGTGGGCCGACCAGCTCTGCAGCAGTGTAGAAAAATATTGCACTGTAGGGTCTACATACATGAGTGGGTATTTTATTGCTATTTTTTTCTGCAGGGCTGAGGAAGAATTTAATCATTCTTCTCCAGTGATATCTGGGGAGAGGATACTTAGCATTAAAGTATCTTTAATGAAAGCAAATTGATTTATTGCATGTTTTTCTTTGATCACTTACTGTACTAGAGGCCAGGTGACCTTCTCACTCGTTCACACTGCTGTGAACCCGCATTGTATTTGGGAATTTTATGTATTCACACATTTACTTTGCATGACCTTGAAGGTGATGGATAATTGTCTGGTTTTTTCCTTTTGTTTTTTTGTCTGTTTTGTTTTGTTAATAACATACTCAGAACAAAAACTGAGTAAAGCAAGCATCTGTAGTGCATCATCAGAAATGTTTTGTTCCATATAAGATACTTATTATCTTCCATGTGAATGTTAGAATGTTTCAGTGGAGAAGAATTACCCTAGAAATACTTGCTGACAAAATATGTTTTAATTTTAACTTTTAGAAAATCACAGTCGCAGAATGCATAGAAACACAGAGTAAAGCTATGACAATGCTCACCATTGAACAGCTATCATATTTACTGAAGTTTGCACTACAGAAAATGAAACAGCCAGGGGTAAGATTTTTATTTTTTGCTAATGTTTGGGTCATATGTTTGTCATAACCCTGGGTTTTGCTTCCTTTTATGGATCATGAACTGAGTTTATTTTAATAGATTTTATGTGGCAGCTTCATGCTGTCTACCACCTGTCTAGTACAGACATTCATTTAGGCTGTATAGGCTGTTTTGGAGTGCATTTAAATTGTAGTTTCTTGATGTAACTTCTGGATGTAATTCTAGTAGGTGTAGTGAAAATAAAATGTGGCTTTCCAGTGGGAGGGACATGGTGGTTTCTCACTCTCAGAAAGTGCACAATGCTGTCTCTGAGATAAAAGAGGAATGAGGAGACATGATCTCTTACCAATAGTTATATGGGAAGGAACCCTAGGCACAGATACTGTTACATTATTGATTATTCCTGTTGAAAGCCTAGCTTCTATCTATTAGTAGAAATTGTTCTTACCACAAAAGTTAGTTATATCATATACTTCTAAAACGCTGAAGAAATTGTGGTGAAAACTGGTGCCATTAACTGTCATGCAGTATGAGGCTGCTGTCCTGTGAATTATTATCATGAAGTAAAATTGGTTTCCCTCCAACCTATCTCCATGTATTTTTCTTAGACTCACTTCTCAAAATCACCATGCCTCAAAATTTCATCTATTCCAGTCACTCATTCTTGCTTCTGAGTTTCAACAATTGTGGTCCCTTGTTCTTAACTGTGCAGGCTTTGTGTAGTTTTCATATGTGTGAAGATAACAGTATATCAAAATATGTGATGAATTACCAAGAGTTGTCTTAACTCCTGTTGCCTGCTTGTTCCTGTACATAAGTTAGAGGAGCAGGGAGGGTGTTTCTGTGCCTGCAGTGATATATTAAAATATGGTGGGAAGACCAGATGTGCAGAATCATGGGCTCTCTGCAGCTCTGATCTCTGATATTTTAGCAGAACAGTAGTGACAATTTCAGGAAGGTTACTCTTAAGTACTGACAGATTTTGGCTCTTGGAATCCTTTTACTCTGCAGTGCTAAATACTATTCTATTAGATGGAGCCATTAGAAGCTTTGAGTGGTGCTTTCCAGTAGCAAAGTGTCAGTGTTTGTTTATATCTAATTCACAAAATGTTTTGAAAATGTGGTTAGAAAGCTAATGTTTAATGAATGCTATGGAGATATTTTGCCCTTTAGGCATTTTACTAATAACCTGTTGTTTTGGTACCTGAGTGCTTTGGTTGTGTTCCAAGAACTGCAGTTAGCAGATACAAAGTGTAGAGTCCCACTGATAAAAGTTTGAATGCGTTTGCATTACCAAGCCACCATTGTTTTGAAAGTTATGATTCTAATGGAAGTCTGAAAAAGAAGTATTAGTGAGTCTAGTGAATCAGAAATTTAGTGTCTTTTTTCTGCCAGATGTTGAGCCTCATCTAATACTCCTCACAAAAAACCCTACTGTAAATAATAATAGCATATTTTACAAACCCCCTAACTTTTGCAATTCATTACTTTCAGCATATGAAAAATCAGTTAAATGAGACCTTTTAGTTCCTCTTCTGCCAGTACTTTATTCTCAAAATTTTATGATTACCTTTAAGAAATTTTCTCTGACGACATAGTTGGAAGTTGTATTAGAAAGTGAATGAGTGTTGTGTCATTGATGAAACTGGTATTAATAAACAGTGTGATTTTTATCTTCTTTTTTCCTAACAGACAGAGCCATTTCAAAAGCCAGTTTCACTGGATCAACACCCAGATTATGCAGAATATATCTTTCATCCAATGGACCTTTGTACATTAGAGAAGGTTTGTATGAAGCGAAGTGAGGAAGGTTCCTTGAGCTGAATTGCTATCAATAAGATTTTTGGAGTGTTTGGTGGGAGTGGGAGAGAGGTTGATTGGAATAATTTTGATGCTTTTCTTTGGTTATTATAAATGCCAGTTCAGTTACAGTTTGAAAACAATCACGTGCCAACTGAGCAAGTCCACTATTTTGTCTAAACCAGTAACAGATGCTCAGGGAAAACACGCTTACACTGATGGCTTCCTCTTGTATAAATTCATCTAATTCCAGGAATGATCCTGTGGGGAGATTTCCTTAACCAGAGTTTGCACTGGATGATCATGTTTGTTAACTAATAATGGATCACTGGTCCGTTAATTTGGAACCATTTGAGTGTATATCCAAAGGTCATTCCAGACTAATTGTACTGATCCATTCAACAAATACTGTAATCTCCACTCACCTGAAGTGTAGAAGAAAAAAAAAACAACCAGTCAAGAGGTGGATAATGAGACTTTCATTCTCACTTCAGTAATAAAAGTTTCAAGTCATGAAAAAGTTCTCCACTCTCCACTGCTTAATGAGGAGTGAAGCACTGCAGAGCTTTGTTCTGCTAGGGACTGGTGGAGAGACAGCAAGCTTTCATTCTCCATGTCCTTGCAGTGGAGGTTTATGTCTTCATGGTATAAAGGTGTAAATAAAACCATGCAACTCATTTTATCTAACTGAGTTACTTTACTCAGTGGGTAGACTGGAATATCAAACATACTGTCTTACGTACTATGACCAATAATTTTTTCTGGGTCTTGTAATAATTAAAAAAAAAAAATAAAATTCTGTGGAGTGATAATATTTCAGTAGAAGAAATCAAGGACTCAGTTTTCTGCAGAGACATTGAATGGAACACTGTTTCATGCATTTAACACTTTTAAAAAATGTTGAAGATGCTGATGAAGTTAATTCATTATTTAGAATTAATTTAGACAGTTCATACATTTTCAGGGCAGTTAAAAGAGACCCTGAATTTGACAGATTCTTAAGTATTTAGAATCATAAGTCTTACAGTAAATAAGTTTTATTTACAGTTTTTAGTTTTATTTCTAGTTTTATTAATTTTATGACTGATAGGAAACAATGTTCAGGAAGACGCTGTCTCTTTTTACTCATTTCTGTTTCCTGATACATTTTTAATTTTTTCTTTACAGAATGTTAAAAAGAAAATGTACGGTTGCACTGAAGCATTTTTGGCTGATGCCAAATGGATTTTGCACAACTGCATTATTTACAATGGGGGTAAGTATTAATTTATGTCCTCAGATATGAAACTTTGAAATAGGTAAAGTCATAGCGCAATTTGCAGGCTTCTGGTTGCCAAATACTGAAATTATCTTCCTGTTAATGACCATAGTGTGTAACACAACAAATTTTTTTTTTTTTTTCTTGTGGTGAGCAGACTGCAGTAGGCTTCAGAAAGGAACATTTAAAGATTGTTATGATATTGAGAAGAAAAGTGCCTACCTTCAGCTTTTGCAAGCATGTAGTTTATACATACATGTTTTACATGGTCTCTTTAGATGTTCTCTTTTGTCTTTAATGTTAACTTTGAAATCTAAATCCTGTTGATTTTTATCACAATTCTAGCATAACAGTTTTCTTGGTTAAAGCATTTTATTGTTTCTTCAGGAAATCACAAATTGACACAAACAGCAAAAGTCATCATCAAAATCTGTGAGCATGAGGTATGAGTGCCCCAATTAATTGTTCTGTATTCTTAAAGTGTTCCATTTCATGTATTGGTGAGTGAAATAATGTGTTTTCTAATGTGTGTATTGTATAACTAATTTTTGTAGGCTTTCTTATGTTCAGATATGCATAACCATGGCCTACAGAACGATTTTTGGCAAAGGCATTGCTAAAGTGTCTTCCATTAGGTTATTCACTATCTATAATTAAGCCTTGCGGTGCAGGGGAGGGTGAGGAAAGAGAGGAAAGTGGACATATGGATTCTGCACAGTCACCTGTCTTCTAATATAATATTTGGAGTTGGAAAAAGAGACCCACATCTTCTGATTCATAGATGCATTTTTTGGTGGTTCTTTTGCTGTGACAATATAAAGTTCCTCTGAACAAGTGGAAAAATGACTATGCATTCTTAACTGATCATTTGCACTGATTTTATTTCAGTGGCAATTCATAATGTTTAGTATTACAAAAACTTGCTATTCTAAATGTAGTATCAATGAAATATTGTTCAAATATATATGTTTCTGGATGATCTAACCTGTTACATTTATGGAAGTGCTTTCTCCATCCCTGGGTTGACACAGCGATATCCATGATTCACATAACCTCTGAGAATTGATCAATTCTTAATAGAACAAAATACATGTGTAATCTAAGCCTGATAGCTTAACTATTTTATATAATATGAGCATAAGGAGTAAAATACTTTATTTTTGGTTCTGCATAAATTATGAAATGAAATGCTAAACTGAGGTTATATTTTTGCCACTAGAAGAAATTATGATAAATAATTCTTGATCACTGGAATGAATGTCAAATAAAGGATGTATTTTTTGACTGGAGTAAAGTACAGCATACAATTTGAAGAGGGATGTAAAAATGTGACTTCTTTATTAACTAGAATGCATGCGTTACAGGGGTAGAAAAAGGTGGAGGTCTGCCAAACAGTGTTGATTTCACAGCAAGTAAATCTATTTAGATCTTCCTTAATATCATGGAGTCCAACCGTTAACCCAGCACTGCCAAGCCCACCACTAAACCATGTCCCTGAGCACCACATCGACACTCTTTAAAATACCTCCAGGGGTGGTGACTCAACTGCTTCCCTGCGCAGTCTGTTCCAGAGCCTGACAACCCTTTCTGTGAAGAAATTTTTCCTAATATCCAATCTAAACCTCCCTGGACACAACCTGAGGCCGTTTCCTTTTCTTACTTATTACTGGGGAGAAGAGACTGACTTCCACCTTGCTACAACCTCCTTTCAGGTAGTTGTAGACTGCAGTAAGGTCTCCTCTGAGCCTCCTTTTCTCCAGGCTAAACACCCCCAGTTCCCTCAGACACTCTTCATAAGACTTGTGCTCTAGACCCCTCCCCAGCTTCGTTACCCTTCTCTGGACACGCTCCAGCACCTCGGTGTCTTTCTTGTAGTGAGGAGCCCAAAACTGAACACAACGTTCAAGGTGCAGCCTCACCAGTGCCCAGTACAGGGGGACAGTCACTGCCCTAGTTCTGCTGGCCACACTATTTCTGATACAAGCCAGGATGCTGTTGGGCTTCTTGGCCACCTGGGAAATGTTGATTTATGACCTCAAATTTGAGGAAAAGTTGTGCTAGCAAACCAGACATAATAATAATACTGATCACACTTTGGACTCTGTTTAAGCTGTCCAGTAATTGTTTACTTTTTTTTTTTCAGATGAATGAAATTGAAGTATGTCCGGAATGTTATTTAGCTGCTTGCCAAAAACGAGAAAATTGGTTTTGTGAGCCTTGTGTAAGTTAAGGATTACGGTAATCTAGCTAATACATTAAACTAGCAGTTCTCATTTGACTGTTGCTTGTTATCCCCCCATTGTTTTAAACCTGTGGTGGTTACCGAGTCAAGGAAAGCTGCTGTAGTTTACCAAGTAGCTTGTGCTTGTGCATTGTGCTCTTTGTGGAGTCACACTATCTCAAGATGTTTAGTTCTGAGATGGCATGTTTTCACAAAAGGATTGGGAAATAACTGTAAAGGGTATCAACAACCAATTTGCAAGTTCTCTATCCTAAGATATAAGATATTTGCTCCTGGGTCATCTGTGCAAGTTCTCTATCCTCAGATATAAGATATTTGCTCCTGGGTCATCTGTGCTTGCATGTGGTACTTGCACTCAGGGTTAAGATTTCTGAAATGTGAATATCTCTTTTTGCAGGTGTGCATCTGAGAATTTAGACTTGTTTTTTCTATCATGACCTATTAATAGGTTATCTGTTTTCTGTTTTTGTTTAACACTGCACCAAACTTGAGAAGACTCCTTAAGATTCTTAAGTACAAGTGCATAATCCATTAAGTTCTCTCTTTGTCTTAAGTGAAAATCAGAATTTAAAAGATTTGCCACAGCCTAACATATTATGCTACATATTTGGAGGGGACTAATAATAATTTTTTAAAAAGAATAAAAAACCCCAATTATGTGTTTGTTTGATATACTTATGGTTTTATGGTTTGGGGTTTTTTTTTATAATTTTTTTGTCCTCCTAGGATTTATTATGTATATATCAAGTATATGGTAAAATGGAATCTTGTATTTGGCAGGTGCCTCATGGATGTTGGATCTTTATTGAATCTAAGTAATAGACACAAAAAAAGTCTTGTTGTTTATCAGATTTGAAGGTAGTACTGCTTGTATTTTCTTATTGTGTATTTTGCCTCTTCCTCTAGAGCAATCCCCACCCTTTGGTCTGGGCTAAACTCAAAGGCTTTCCATTCTGGCCTGCTAAAGCACTGAGGGATAAAGACGGGCAAGTTGACGCCCGTTTCTTTGGCCAACACGACAGGTGGGAATTTTGCCAAAGGATGTCTTTGGCTGTACTTACAAAATTCTTGTTGTAATTCTGTGCTCTTAGAGTTTTTGGATCCTGTCTTTTGAACCTTGATCCTAATAAACTATATAATACTGTAGCATGTACAGTTTTAGTTTCTTACATGATGTCTGTAGAATTTAAGTCTTGTTTTACTAAGATTAATACATATATGATCTCAGTGACTATGCAAGTTAATTCCTGTGTCTGGTTTAGTTCTGCAGAACACTGTAGTTCTTAAAGGTGGAAGAGGCCAATAAAGTTCTTTATGTTATGTAAACGATATGGGAATAAACATATGATTGTAGATTTTAAAAATATAGAAAATATAAGATGTGTTGAAAATGCCAGTTCTGTTCTGAAAGGAGTTAAGTTTTCTGTACTTGTGAACCCTCTGCTTAGATGGAGAAAGCCATGATGAATATGAGTTGATTTGTCATTAATTAAAAATATAAATCTATAGAGTTACAAAACTTGTACTGTAAAAATCCAAAAACCGTATAGGGTCATGAAATAATTAAGTCACAGTTTCTGGTAGTTTAGAATCTTGGAAGGCACAGTTTTAGTCAGCCTTATTTCATGATAAATAAAATCTGTCCGATACTTGTTGAGAGAACTTTTCCTGGCATTGAGGAGTTTGATCACGCTGACATGGGGTGTAAAATCTTTTTAAGACTGTGCTTGTGAAATCTTCTTTCCTGTCCGGCTTCTTACGTTTTTCTACTAACTATGACAGCAGTGGTTGTCTTACAGTTACATAGACTATTCTAATTAGGAACATTTCATCATATTTGACCAGTGTTTATTCATGTTTTATGTGTTAGTGGATAGACTAAAATAAGCTAGTGATAATCTAAGATATGCAATTTACTTACTTATCAAAACTAAGCACTCAACTATTAAAAGAAAGTGGTAGACATGGTCATTTGAAATTATCTGATGTGTACATATCTTTATGATTAGGCTAAAATAAATAAATATGTGCACAAAAGTTGCCAATGTCAGTCCACAGTGTGAAATGTAGTTATATTGTCTTTCACTTTTCTATTTTATATGTAGGGCCTGGGTTCCAATAAATAATTGCTACCTCATGTCTAAAGAAATTCCTTTTTCTGTGAAAAAGACTAAAAGCATCTTCAATAGTGCAATGCAAGAAATGGAGGTTTATGTTGATAACATTCGTAGAAAATTTGGAGTATTTAATTACGCACCTTTCCGGACACCATATACTCCCAACAATCAATACCAAATGTTACTAGACCCTGCAAACCCAACTGCTGGAACTGCAAAGACAGACAAACAAGAGAAAATCAAACTGAACTTTGATATGACAGCGTCGCCCAAGATTCTAATGAGCAAGTCCATGCTGAGTAGTAGTACTGGTCGTAGGATTTCATTGACAGATATGCCACGGTCACCAATGAGTACAAACTCATCAGTTCACACTGGATCTGATGTTGAACAGGACGCAGAGAAAAAAGCAACTTCCAGTCATTTTAGTGCCAGTGAAGAATCCATGGACTTTATTGAGAAAAATACAGGTAAAAAACCAAGGGGGTGGGGTGGGGGTACAGGACTTTGCATTTGGTTAATGCATTAGTTTTATTCCATGTACTTATTAAAGACAGACTGTATTAATATTAATTTTGTGAAGAAAATTTAGGAAAAAAAAGGGTTTATCTTTCAGTATCACAGATAATAAATAACGCTCCTTTCTGTCACATTGAGAAGGAATAAATAATCTTGAACAATGACCAAAACCCTTCAGTTTAAATACAAAGAAATAGCTTTAACCATCAAAATGAATGGAGAGTGGAAGTAAATACGAAGAGTTACAATTGCCATGATTAGGAGGTATTCTGTTTAAAATTTGATAGCTATTTTCCAAGGCAGTGAACTAAATTTATAGTGTTTCCAGTGGAACAGATAAAGTATGATAAAACTACAGTTCCATAGGCAGAGTGGATAAAGAGAAAAAGGAGTGTAGAATACAGAATTTGGACTTCTTAGACTTAAAGTGTAGAGCTAACTTTGTGCAGTCAGGCAAACGATCATCCACAAAAGATGCTATCTGAAAAAAAATGGTGCATATTAATGTGTTTTAAAACTTTGGTTTTGATGGAAGGATTTATTTGTGTAGAAAACTAAATCAGTATGTTCTGTTGCAGTTCTTAGATAAAATGCCATTTATTTATTTATTTATTTATTATATTCTTATTCTTTCTAGCCAATAAAGGTTAGGTTGTGAAACTACCTTTGGGTAGAAAATTATCTTGTGAAATGGTGCTGTCCATCTTAAGAAAGTGATGACAAAGTAACTGTATGAATATAAATATATGAAAATACTTGGATTTTTCAGTAGACTAAAATGTAGAAAGGAATAATTTATACATAAATTATCATGTGTATATGTGTATACAGCTTTTATACATAAGGTATAGCTAACAGGTGCTGGTTTGTGTCTTAAAATATAGAGCTTTTATTATACCACATTATTATTTCTTTATAATAGTGGAAATAGTAATGGAAAGTGACGTTGGAGTTATTTTGTCAGATAAAGATAAAAGAAGATGACAGATATTATTCTATTACTTTGGATTCTTGATTATCATAGCAATTCTGGGGAATATTTCTAACTTGTCTTCAAGCCTTATTGTCCTCTATCCTAGTGGGATTGGATTTAACAGCATTTAAACTAGAATATTCAGTTTCCCATCTTGCATTTCTACCTGTATGTTGTTATAAATGCTAACTTTTGTAATATTTACTTTATGTATAAATTTAGCTGTTCTGTTACTGGAATCTGTGTTTCAATTCAAATGTAAGTGAAATTACTTGTTTGCTCTAAAAAATAATTCAGGTTGTATGACTGTATTATCCTTGGACAAGAATGTTTTTATTTGGATGCCCCTGTTGTGTATTTTGAGTGATGTGTAGAAAATAACTTGGAAACAGTTACTGAAACAGCACATACTGCTACCGTTTAGGTATCTGAAAATATATAGAGAATCTTGGATGTACTGGGAGAGAAAAAGTGAGTTTAGGATGACATTTTCAGAACATTAAGCAGAGATTTAACAGACAGAAATTAGTCTCTTGATGACAAAAAATGAGTCCTTTTCTCACGTAGTGACCTGCAGATGCTTCCCTTTCTGGACTGGCTGTTTCCAGAATTCTGTCTTTGAAACATTATGTTACAGGTTTTAAAGACTCGGAGCACAGGATTTTGCTTAAACTCTGTATAAATTGGAATATTCTGTTACCTTATCAGAGACATTTGGTCACTGATCTCCAGCTGTACTGATTAAACTTAATGTGATTTGTACTTCTAATTCTCTGTTAATGCATCTAGAAAATGGAGTAGGTGGGGCTTTCTATGTTTACTTACACACATGAATTAAAATAGGAATTTAGATTGTCAGAATTTGTTAACATCTAAAAGAAGCAGATCTGGAAAGCTAGAAACTTTCTGTGACCTCAGACAGAGTGGTTTTGAGGGTAAACAGACATTTAGCCCAACTATATAGCTGCAATAAAATTATTTTTCTTACAGTTTTTTTCTTTATTAAACTAAAATTAAAGGGATAGTCATACCTCAAAATGACGATATAGCAGAGTTGAAATTATTAAACAAAAATAATTTCCCTGCTTGTGTAGGTTTAAAAGCTGTTTTGTCCCAGTTAATATGGCTTCATTGTGATTATTTTTAAATCTGTCTTTATTAATTTTGTACTTTTTCAGCTTCTCCAGCACCAACACGAACGGGTCAAGCAGGGAGCTTGTCAGGCAGCCCCAAACCTTTCTCTCCTCAAGCATCAACACCAATTTCTGCTAAGCAAGAAAGAACTTCCACTCCAGGAAGCATTCTGAATCTTAATCTTGGTTAGTCCTGACCTTTGAAAACCTAATAATCTTATAGCTGAATAAATAACAGTGATGTCAGTGCAACATAATATGAACAAACTTGCTTGTCTGTGGCTTTAAATGAACAAAGGACTTTAAATGAGGCACATTTGTAATTATTGTTTCATCAAATATGCTTTGTTTTATAAATGAAGGTTCCTGTTATTGTTTCTTCTTGTTGATAGAAGGAAGTAGTTAAAGGATAATTTTTTTAGCTGAACTGTACAAACGGATGTTTCTAAACAGTAGGTAAGTTTCTAAAGGTTGTAATTACATGAACATTGCTGGTTTTCACCCCTCAACTCTCAAGCAAACTGCTTTCTTGTGGTATTTAGGATGTATTAGGGCTTCTTTTCTCTTGCTGCCTTCACATCACCTCCTCACTGACCATCCCTCTCTAGAGGGATAGACGGAAGGAATTAGCAGATGTCTTGAAACTCTCTAGAAGTAAATTTTGCAATTGTGGAATTTTAAAGATGGAGTAGGTGAGTACTAAGTTCATAAAATAGTTCTGAAAGTCAAATGGATGTTAATCAGTTTCCTCAGTTGTGCTTTGTTCCTGTGAGTATTCTTGATTGAATTCTGGCTACTTTTTACCTCCACATGACATTACATGGAGAAGCAAGATTCTGCCCCTTGGTGTTGTTAGCCAAATACTTCAGGAAGGCTTGAGCTCAAATGCTGAATTTGTGCTTTCAGTGAGTTATTGTGAGAATTCACAATATATATTCAGTGAGTCAGTGAGAATTCCAATTCTGGATATAAGCTCAGACATATATTTTCCAGTGTGTTAATCTATCTGTGTGGACATAACCATAGAGTTAGTTTCTTCAGCTGTACGGCAGCTGTTTGTTTTCTTATCTGAGGTGACAATGCATTTGGAAAAATACTAAGAAGTTTCTAGTGCTGCAGTTGTTTGAGCCACAGATGGGAGACATCAGCTGGAGCATAGAAGATTTTGAATAAATACTGTCGATCAGAAAATACAATGTTATGGTCCATGAGCAATACCATAAAAGAACACCTAGTATGCTTTCAAGTAGAATATTAATTATTTTTTCAGTTTTAGGGGAGTTTCCTTTGCTAAATGTACTCTTTGGTGATAGGAATGAAAATGGCCACCCTTCTTCATTTAATAGTGTCAACTGTGCCATAGATTCTTCTGTGAATCCTATGGTTTTCAGATATGACTTACTGTGTCTCATTGTCATATGTAATGTGAACAAGGTTTCTCTCTGAAAAAATAAACATGAAAGTCAGAAAACAAAGACACTTAGGTACCTTGAGCAGAGTACTAGGAGGACTATATAATCATCCTCCAATTCAGCAATAAGGAAGGAAAAATAATGGAAATGAGCCATCCCTTGTTATTGGCAGACTGGCTAAATTGAAAAATGGAGATGTGAATGACCAAGCTCTACACAAATTGCTTAGAAAAAATACATATTCCTGATAGTATAGGACTTGTCCTTGTTTAACAGAGGCAGAAAGATAGACTAACAAGTTTGAGCAAGTAAGGCGTGAAAATTTTTAGATCAGTAATGAGAAAAAGTATAATTTGGAGATGAGAATTCAAAGATTTCTCCACCATGGGCTTGTCTGCCCTTTGGCTCTGTTTTCATTTTACTAATACTTTGGCATTAATGAGAAAGATTGGAAATCTGTGAGATCTCCTTGTAGGTCAGAGAAATCTGGATTGCAAGACTGCTTTCATATGTTAGGATGTAGGGTTCCCTGGGGAGGTATTATTACATATTGTATGTTAGTTAGTACACATTATATATATTCCTCCATTCTCTGTTTTTTCTTCTGTTTCTGTCCTGCTTTGTAATTAACGACGAAGGCTTTGAATCAAATTCTCTAGTAAGGGTGATATAACCATTACTGCTGTGGAATTAGTGTGGATTGGGTGATATAGTTAGCATAGGAAAAAGAAACCTGATTTTAGTAGACATTTCCAGTGCAAGGAACGAATTTTTCAAAAGTACTTAAGTGACTTAGAACCTTCTTTTCTACTTTCAAAATTTCCACTGCACTGAAAGTGATAGAGTTTATTTAGTCTCTTCCAGTGTGAATATGTGACATGGGGAGTGTGAAATTCAGTATTACTTTTATGACTATTTCTCTGGGACTAGAAAGGATGATTGAATGTTATTTAGACTGAATTTGTGTCTGCTATAATGCATATATATTTCAAGCCTGTAATATATAGCCTGTATATTTGGCTTGTGGGATTGTACCACACAAATTTCTGCCTTGCTCTAGGAAAAGATGAGGAACTGCTGTTTTAGCAGTAAACAAAAACAGCATGGAAGACTTGAATGGTTACTTCCATACCTGCTCTATCTGTAATATAGATTCTGTTTCTAACGTGATAGGAGATAGAATGGCCAGACAACTGTACTGCTGAAGTTGAGTCATTATGTACTATTGCTCTTAAGCTTTAAATGTGGAATGTACCTTGGTACTAAGTTAAAACTTGTAAAAAGTGTCTGGCCAAAGGAATCATTGGCTCAGCCCTTTGTATTTATTTAATTTTTCTGAGTTGTACATCAACAAAAATTATCTTGTAAATATGTGTTTGTGTTGTTTTGGTTGGTTTTTTTAAAGTAAAATAAGGCACTACTGTGACATCTTTCAACTGCTGTGGAATGAAACTCTAAAAGGAGCACAAATGCACATTGTGCCAGTGTTGCCCTTTGTCTTCTCCATGGCCTCTGTCCTTTTCCAGCAATATGGTACTGGCTTTTTTGATCCTACCATTAGCCAGTTCAGGGAGTGAAACTGGCCAAGCCTAATTCTTCTCTCCATTCTTTCCCCTTTCTTCATGTCCCCTTACTCCTCTTTCAAACAAGCAACTAACTCTGAACTGGTTTAGTGTCTTGACCACTAATGGAGTGTCAGCACTGTTAGCAAAGAGTAAAGCATAGGACTGTGCTACAGAAATAGAACTCTGAAATTGAGCAATTTGAAGTAAAAGTGTGAAACTTAGCTGCTAAGACAGTTTTAGCTTTAGCACTATAGTCTGTACTCTCTGTAGACAGATCTGTACGTTTCAGAGTGAAAATTCTCTGTGTGTATAGAACTCAAGAAGATTTTGCTGACATACATTGAAAAATGTATTATTTTATGTTAAATTTATCTCGTGTAGCAATCCACATTTTTATTTCTATTCTCATGACTTACTTTTTGAATTTTAGACGGTGATTTTTACTCCTATTTAATTTTCTCTGTGACAGTATTACTACTAGTATTAAATAACAGCAGTAGCTTACTAGAAGTACTGTCAGAAAGTTTACAGACCTTATTGATTTCCTGATAATTTCACATGTCCACACAACTGATGCATGCATTTTGCATGTGAAATATGTAGTATCAGAGAGGAATAACCCATTGTTTGTGTAAAGTAATTTTAGAACTATTATTTAGCCCATAATTATAAAAGTAGTGAAATATGTTTCAGATTGTCTGTATTGTTGCTCAGTAAAATTTGTCTTCGCTGGATAGTGATCGCTCTTATTTTTGTAAAATGTTTTTCTTAGTTCTTTTTTCTTTTTCTAGATCGTAGCAAAGCTGAGATGGATCTGAAAGAGTTGAGTGAGTCAGTCCAACAGCAGACCACTCCTGTGCAACTCATTTCACCAAAGCGACAGATACGTAGTAGGTTCCAGCTTAATCTTGACAAGACAATAGAGAGTTGTAAAGCACAACTTGGTAAGTATAACTCAAGAATACAATGGCCATCTGAAGGATACACTTGAAGAAATTTTGAATTGGAATTTAAAAGAAGTTTTGAATAGTAAAACCTTAAATATTTAATGCATTAAAACAAGAGGAAGAGGATATTTGAACTCTTTGAGGCAAGTAGAGCACACTGAACTGGTTTAATTTAAAATATGGTGAGACTTTGTTTCAAATTTTTGGCAAGAAACTTTCCTCTTTTAATCTGGTTTTGTGCTGTTCTGATCTAGATAGTATGACAAAATTACAGTATTTACTGTTTTTGCTTTGTAAATTGAAAAATTCAGTGATTGTACCTAACTTATGTCAGTTGCACAAATTAGTATATCCAGTCACCCAGGAGCTGAATGCTGTTAAAAACATCACTGTTGTCTATCACTTTAATTAAAGACATTCTAGACACTAAAAATATTAGATTCTCCTCACAAAACTTACGCAGTTTAAAATTGATTCTTCAAACATGCATATCAGTAACCAGGTGACTAGTGTTACTGATTTTAAGGTGTTTTTTTGTGGATAAAAATAATCCCTCTTTGCATTTGCCAGCATTGGGTCCAGAGTTGAACAAAATGGCTTGGGTAGTGGAAAAAAGCAGTGAAGGAAGGGCCACTGAATGAAATAAAAGTATTAATTGTAATATTTAGAAGATAATTTTTATACAATCTGGTATTGATATAGGTATGCATGGTATTTATAGGTATGTATAGAATTGATATGGTATGTATACACTTTGTTCCAGTATATAAAGTTGGGGTTTTTTTTGTAATATCAGTCTGATGTCAGCATGGAATGTACTTTCCTCCCCACAATTAGGAATAAATGAAATATCTGAAGCTGTTTATACTGCAGTAGAACACAGTGACTCTGAAGATTCTGAAAAATCTGACACCAGTGACAGTGAATATAGTGATGAGGATCAGAAATCAAAGAATGATCAAGAAGATGGAGAAGACAAGGAAGGTACAAGAAGTGACAAAGAATCGTTGAACTTGAAAAAAAAACCTAAGCCCCCAGCACAGAATGAAGACAAGGAGGAACTTAAAAGCACAAGTCCAGAAGTGGAGAAAACAGATGACCCAGTCAAAGAAAAGGCAATTATAGACACTGAAAAAGAATTTTCTGAAAAGGGAAAAAGTTTACAGCATCCTGCAAAAGAAAAACTGAAAGGTAAAGATGAAACAGACTCTCCAACTGTGCATCTAGGACTGGACTCTGATTCTGAGAGTGAACTTGTCATCGATCTAGGGGATGATCATTGTGGACGTGAAGGAAGGAAAACCAAGAAAGAATCTAAAGAACCTCCTCCTAAACAAGATGGTAGGATGAAATTCTTTCCTTCATTTTTTTTTTCTTCTGTTCTGTAGGGCTGTTAACTTTATTTTTACATTAAAATAAAAATATCTGTACTAAAACAATTTCTAGGAATGATTTTTCATTCTTTGTGACTATGAAAAAAGTTTTTTGTCCCCATTGTAGTTTCTGGTTTAAATGAAATGTTTCATTGAGTTTTCTGTCCGCAGCGTAGAACTATGAATATCCATAATGTTTGCTCTGTGACAAATGTAGAATTTATTTTGCAGTTACTCTGACTTTCAGTTGAATCTTTATGTTTCCATAGACCTCCCAAAATTGCATGTATAGAAGTTGGAACTTACCAAACATAAAAATTGCATAAGGTCCCATTGAAATCAATGTAAATGTCCTCAGTAATAATCAAAAGCACAGCTAAATCACATGTTCTATCCCTGAGATACTGTCCTTGTTTCTGCATGTTGCTAAGAGGAAAGCAATCTCAGTGACTAAAGTGCTTTTGCTAAGGTTGTTCTGCATGCTAGTCTTCTGTCAAAATGAAACAGAAAACTAGATTTATATGGTTAGACTAAAAATTATTTTATTCTTCATACAACTTTCTTTTCTTGTCTACATTTCATAGCATGTTAGCTCAATCATTTTATGTAAAACAATGTTTTCAGTCAGTTAACTAAACATACTTCAGAAGACAATGCTTCTGAATTTTGAACCTTAAAATGGAATTTAAGGGATAAATGTTATAAAATAATCCAGAAAATAAGATTATATACTAAAAACAGAATAATAATTTTGGGGAGTTCACATTGACTGATTCTTGTTTTATTTAAAAAATTTATTAAGCTTTATGAAGCTTAATGAATTTCAGAACCACTTACACCTGCATTGCTAGTGGCCTGAACCAGTGATGGTTGAGATAATAATCCTAAAACTTTAGTTTGATATAGAGGCAAAAGGCTAATACATATTCCAAGTGAAATTTGAAAGTGAATTTAAATATTTATATATATATGAATATATTCTAGACATAATTTGTGTCCTGTCCATGATTCCAAGCCCCCCCCCCCCCC